CTACCACTACCACCATCACCACCACCACCTCCACCAGCACCACCACCACCATTATTACCACCCCCACCCCCACCATTTCAAGGTACACCATGTTCAGTGACTTTTAGCGTCTTCGCCATGCCATGTACCCACAGATTTTATCTGGCTTCTTGCAACCATGCCTTGGCTCTCTGCCCTCTGGATTGGCATACTCTGTATGTGGCATCACAGGGAGCGGGCATGGCTGGTCCTTTGGTCACCGTTGCCCCAGCGTCAGTCGGTAGGCGCTTCATTCATCTTAATCTCATTGTGGTTTTGCAGGTCATGCTAGCAGCTTCCTATTGGTCCCTGCTGGCCCCTGCGGTCGAGATGGCCATGTCCTCCGGAGGCTTTGGTGCCTTTGCATTCCTGCCTGTCGCTGTCGGCTTCACCCTGGGAGCTGCTTTCGTCTACCTGGCTGACCTGCTGATGCCTCACCTGGTGAGTACCTCCCGTCCCATCAGGATCTCGGTAACTCTCTTTGCCATCGGTCTCTAAACAGGTAGTTTGCATCATCGGAGGGCCTGTGCTTAGCAGCCCCGGACTGCTTGCTGTATCTTCCTTAAAGGAGAGAATCTCCTGGTCCCATGATGAGTCATGCCCTCCGTTCACATTTACTAAGATCAGACGTTGAATGCCAGATCTCGTTATTCGTGGAGCTGATGTGCAGTGTGACACCTCATGTGAGAGTGGGCCTGGAGCTGGAGAAACAAAGGACCGTGGTCCTGAGCCTGGCTTTATGAGCGTCTGATGCTGAGGGGTGGTTGATAGCCCATCCAGCTGTGACCTAAGGCCCTTGACAAAGCCTGAATCCACAATGCCTCCGGGTCTGAGTGGGGAAGATGGGAAGGGGCTTGCGCCCACGTCTGCCACTTGTGGGCTGTAAGTCTCCTAACTCCTGTTCTCCTTCCTATCCTTTAAGAATCCTTCCCGTCACCCCTTCCAACTCTAGCCTTCTAAGGGAAGAGTCAGAACGGAGCCGGGTGATGCTGACGTGCATCACAGTACAAAGACAGGGCAAAGCAAAATGGCCCCAGAATTGGGGAGAGGCAGGCTTGGTAGGTCCTTCGCCAACATTTGGCCTGGTGGGTTGAGAAGCCCATTCGAGATACAGCAGCACCAACATTAGGGCGTGTGGATAGGAACAGGATGCCGTGGGTGAAAACTGCTCTCAGTAGAGGTGTGGGGTTGATGCCAATGAGAACCCTGGACTAACACCCATACCAAGCCAACCCCTGGGCCTACCTTCCCTGGGGTAGGCAGAAGCCCCTGGAACAGAGGCCCTGTGCTTGAGAGGGAGGAAGCCCAAGAAGGACGATTCAGGGTAGAGTGAGGCTCAAGGCCATTTCTTCTCTTGGGTCACAGCATAGGAGGAGGAGGCCAGGCTCTCGGGAACCAATGAGACATGCATGTCTTTCTGGTCTACCTGCTTTTTTTCTGACCTTAAATTTCCTGGAGTCTTGACCGCCAGGCCTTGGGACTAAGGAGATCTAGCCTTACCACCCTCCGTGTGGGCTGCCCCCGCCTGACACACCCAACACAATTTAGGGAGTGGTTTCCCTGAGCACAGGAGGCTTATCCTCAGGGCCACACAATGCTGGATGCATTGCTTGGATGGAGAGGCATGATGATGTCTTCAAAGACCCTTGGGTGGGTGTCTCTCTCTGTCCCTGGGCATTTGACTTCCTCGAAGGCCCACTGACCTGCCCTGGCATAGCTTTCTGGGGTCCTCCATGTGGGCTGTCATACTCTGCTCTCAAATCCATGCTGGGTTTTGGGGCAAACGTGCTGTTGGGGTGTATTTTGTGTGGCTTGGAAAGAAGAGCGGAGATGTACATGGGTACAGACCAGCGCTGGAAACACAGGGAATCCAGGGCAGATCAACGCCACAGGACCCATCATGAGAGTAGCCATACCAGGAGGGTAAGGGGAAGGTGGGGGAGAAAGAGGGAACCGATCACAATGTTCTACATATAACCCCCTCCCTGGGGGACAGACAACAGAAAAGTGGGTGAAGGGAGACATTAGTCAGTGTAAGACATGAAAAAATAATAATTTATAAATTATCATGAGGGCAGGGAAGGGGGAAAAGTGAGCTGATACCAAGGGCTCAAGTAGAAAGAAAATGTTTTGAAAATGATGATGGCAACATATGTACAAATGTGCTGGACACAACGGATGCATGGGATGGATGGATTGTGATAAGAGCTGTATGAGCCCCCAATAAAATAATTAAAAAAAAGAAGAAGAAGATCAGGTGACGCTGGCCTGAACTCCTGAATGGTCGCATGGGGTCGGCCATGTGGGTCTCAGTCGGTCCGCTGGTCCCAGCTGCCATGCAGGGCTTCCATCTGATCTGTTCCAGTGGACTCCCTGCCACTGGATCTTGTTAACACGGAGATCCGGGTCCAGTATATCTGGGGTGGCAAGGAACAAACTGGCAGGAACAGGTTGGAAGTCCTGCTTCTAAGAGGCACCAGCTCCCGCAGCCTCGCCGGGCATCGCTCACTTGCCCTGGGAGCGGGGCACAGATGTATTTGATCAGCTGTCTGATGGTTGGGGCTTTCTCCGGGCAGAGTAAATAATAATTGGCCAGTTTGCACTCTGCACCAACACATTCCCCGTGCCCCCGCCCCACCCCTTGGGTTCATGTTTGTTCTTCTTTATGCTGGGAATATGCAGCCGATCCCAGGGAAAGGCTTAGATGGGATGTGAGGGGCTCCGGAGGACAGGGAGGGGCTCATTGACCCTCCTTGGCACGAAGACCAGCCCAGCACAAAACATTCATTTTAGGACATTTAGGAAGGACCCCTTGCTATTGATGTGAGCCAGGGAACTTGTCTCAGAGGGGTTTCTAAATAGACGGGATTAGCTCTAACAGCAACGGCCACGGAGCCCCAACGCTGCACCTGGAGACAGCAGTCTGGAGGTTACCTTGGTTTCGCTATTAATTGGCTTACTGAACCTGGAAAGGGCAGCAGCTTGAGTCTAGTGGATGCTTTAGGGTGTCCGGCTGCGTTAATGGGCTTTGACGTTGAGTTCATGTGATTGTTAACAGGGGCCGGTGGGGGGTGGGGGGATATGGGAGAGGGGAGGGCTGAATGTTTTTGGTCATTAGGGAGTTTACTGCTGCTCTTGGGATTTTTTTAAAAGGAAATTTATTTATTTATTTATTTC